CAGCATCTTGCCCAAGGACACTTCAGCATGCAAATGGATAAGACTGGGGATCAAACTGCTGATCTTTTGGTTGGGGGACAACCGCTCTACCCCTCAGCCACAGCCACCCTAGTAAAAGGCCTGAAGCCTGGCAAAGATCCATTCTTTTTATGGGTTCTTTATCATTTGCTTAACACAAAAATGTCTTTGTAGATGTAATGTTAGTAGTTAGTACAGCCCCCCTTTTTTGTCCAGGACTAGTCCATGTCTTTATAAGCTCCCTGTGTCATTTGTGAGCAGGTCAGTTTGGTTATGTTTGGTTGAGTTCAACTTGTATTCCCTCTTTTTGAGTTAGTGCCCTTCATTTTGTAGCTCTTTTCTAGTTTCATATGTTACACAGAATTGATTTACTCTTCTAACTTGCTTGCAATTTTTGAACACTTTCCTATTTTACACCCTGTCCTTTTGCATTTTTGAATGTTCCCTGACAATATATATATAATTAACTAAAAGTATTTACAGTTCAACTGTGTTTACAGTTTACACGTTACTTCTTGGCTTTGGAAACTAATGGTAATGTTGCTGCTTGATTTTAAAACTGTAAGTATTACCTGGACAATCAAACTTTCTTTAACAATATTTGATTTTGCACTGCATTGATTTATAAAAAGAAGGAGACTGGTAATTAAACAATTGTGAGGGTTGATTCACCAGTGGTGTTGTCCAGAATGCGCTGAATAAGGACAGGATACTTGGAGATCCGCTGAGTCACTAACAAGATGCACTCCTGAACCCCATGGCAACGTAGCAGTGGTCCACGACTCACCCGCTGCCCAGAGACAGAGAGACAAAAATGTGTCATTTATTTTTCATTGTATCTGAAAGGGGTCTTTGAGGTTAATTAAAATGCTGCTGTTGCAAAAGAAAATTAAATAAGACTGATAAAAATAGTGGAATCAGAAGCAACACATCAATAAATAGATTTTATAGGATGAGGAGTAAATAATTCAGACTTGCAACTTGCATACTATTTTCTGTTAGTTTTTCCTGTCATTTCACATCCTGGCTCCCTTTGCTTCAGTATTCCTCAGCTTTAGTGTAAGCTGGTTAATGAAAGTATAGAGACAACTGTGAGACAGCGAAAGAAATAAGCTAGCATGTTTAAGTGCCAAAATTCCAAATTGCAAGAATTCAAATATAATTTGAAGTGGAAATGTTGCACATGGCTATCAAATTGAAAATTCAATATGAAATTGTGGCTGGGACAAAGTTCAATCTGTAGATCATTTCTCTAATGTTATTAGTTCTAGTTATGCAAATATAAGTGCATTACTATATTATATGCCAGTGTTACCATAGTGCCATGATAACGTAGTTTACATATCAGATGGTGATAGTTCTAGTCAAAATTCACAAAAATGAAAATGAACCATCTTTGTTGATTGAAACTTATATCATCAAAAAATCACCACATAATTCAGAGTCAGGTGATAAAATAAAAACTCTATACAGTTCACATCCTGTGTGTTAACTTACTCGTATAAAACACTGGAACCTCTTGTCTCTGGCCAGCAGTTCCTTGTACAATTTAACAGCCTTCAAGTGGCGACTACAGAACTCTGCATAGGTCTTCTGCATGTCATCTGCACACTGGCCTGAGAACTGACAGAAAAATACCTTAAAGTTATTATGTCTGTGTATGAAGGTGATAGAGATAAATGCTCTTGTGCAACGTGAAAGTTCATTGTTTGTTTATGTTGTAAATGTTGATGTTTTCTGAAATGTGATACATGATGCAGTTTGTTTTGTTGAAATTATATTTTGTGAAATAAGTTTTATTTGGTATTATGGATCTGCTTTGGGACCATTAACTAGCAGAGAACACAGCAAGCATCAATGACACACACACACAACACTGATTCTTAAGACATGGAACAAATATTTTTAAATGTAGATGTAATGAGGGATTGATAATAGAATGTATTCAACACAATTATCTCCTTCAATTTAATTTAGAAATTATTATATCAAATCTATGATCCTCACTGTCTTCCCACAACATCTGAAACAGCATGTCTACGGAGAAGGGTTCAATCATTCATGTGCAATAAAATGGATACAAATATTTTTTGATGATTAAATAATAGCTTTTTTCACAAAAATAAACACTTACTAATATCTCATATCAAAGCAAAGTTGTTTTTCAATGACACATATTGTATTCCCACTTTCTGTAAACACCTTCAGACATTCATTACAATGTAATAAAATCAAGCAATATTAAGGGGGACAGTCACTCCGAAGGACCCATTTTCACATTCCACCTATCAAATAAGTTTTAGAATTTTAGGCCCAATCCCATTTCAATCCTTCTCCCTAACCCTACCCCTTGTTAGGGGGTTATCTTGCCCCTTGAAATTGAGTCACTAAAGGTAGTGGTTGAAATCTTCCCTTATGAATGTCGTTGTCGATGTAAACAGACGTGACAATTTTTTTTTTTGCTGGAGATGTCATTGTAATAACATTGTTGAGATCTTAATTAAACCAATGCTGTTGTTTGCAATAACTAAAGTTACAAACCTATAATATCCAAATAAGATCTATGCTAATGCAGGTGAATCAATGACTTTAAAATTGAAAAGCTTGGATGCTCTGCATTATTTCACATATTAATCAAAAGCACACAGCTTCAGTTTGCTAGCAGTGGAGTCTATGCAACCCTGCCAGGATGCTTTATTAGAGGAGCAGTTAAGTTCAGTTACATCCCTGCTTTACGTTGGTTCAATCAAGTGCATTGTGTGTCTTCAAAGAGGGGATTAAGATCATGAAATCATTTGAAAAAACGGGATTATCATGCAAAAAAAGGGATAGCTAACAGGCTAACGATAGCATGCTAACGCTAGTGAGCTTGCAATCTTTTTTTAATGTTATTGTGACAAAAAGTGCCATAATAAATTGAAATTATATTAAAATAAGATATTACAATCATTATCTCAATATTTAAATCCTTATTAATGGGGAAAATACTACATTTGTGGGTCTATTTCCCAACTTGCCAGTGATTCGCAAGGCATTCTGGGTACCCCTTGGTTGGAAGTGTGGGTCTATACAGCCCTAACACTTGGCCCTACCCCTCCGTCCCAACAGTTATCGGGAGAGCCTACCCCTACACATGAGCGCGCAAAAGGAGAAGGGCTAATGGGTTGTGCCAAGGGGTGAAATGGGATTGGGCCTTGGAGTATTTTAAATCTTAATGTTAATATTTCCTGTGTCACAACCATGATACGTCTACACCGTATTCCAATTTCTGAGGACATTGTTTAGAATGTTTAGATCATCTTGTCATGTATCCTTTGTTTTTGGTCCTCTTTTATATAAGAGAGTATTATTTAAAGTATGAATTGTGTTTTTCTTACGTTTGGATTCATGATTTAAGTTTTGCTCCCTGTGTCACTCTCCTGTGTCCCACTCTGTTCCTTTCTGATGTGTCCCTCTCCTGTGTCCCATTCTGTTTCACCCTGTGCTTCACCCTGTGTCCCTCTGTTTACTGTTTTATTTTGTAGTCTATGCTCCTTGTGTGTTTTCCCCCTGGACTTCCTGCCCTTGTCAGGTTCACCTATTTGTCCTGTGCCACCTGTCTCGAGTTTCTCATTAGTTCAGTGTGTATTTAAGTCTTTGTCCTTGCCTTGGTTTTTGTCAGTTCATTGTTGTGAGATGCCGTTCCATGACCCTGTGTTGTTTTACCACCCATCATTGTTTCCAGTAAGTCTCTAGTGTTTCCTTGTGTCTCCCCTGTTTATGCTTAAGAGCACTTTTGAGTTGCCATTATTTTGGATTTAGTTTGTTTGCTTTGTTTGCCTACCTTAGTCATTAAAGGACACTCTTTGTTGAAAACCTTTTGTTCTGCCTTTTGGGTCCACCTGCTCCCTTACCCTCTCCCCACAAAACGTAACACATCTAGCATCAAGCTGAAAAGAAAATACCATCAGATGTCAACTCCATCAGATTTTCTTTCTGATGGTGGTGACAGGCGAATTACTGAGTTGACATTCAATGGGAAGGCATAATTTTTTTTGTTTTTTTGAGTAATTTGGTTTTTTTCAATATTGGATCCTGTTTTGTCCCACTTGTCCCACTTCTCAAGAATCACTGACATGACATTGATTCGGTCAGATTCAGAATGAAAGGGAGGTGCTAAGGTGGAGATAGGTTGTAAAGTGGCCTGCAGTGGCCTGGAAGCAGGATGAGTAGGCAGCTTTGCCAATTGAATGCATTTAGATGGGTATCAGCTGAGTTATTAGCTGATGTGCGCTGGCATAGATATACTGGACTGTGGTTGAGCTTGGCTTCATGATGCTATTCTCATTGTTGTGAAATGTTATTGTGGTGTATAAAATGTGGTTTGGGACATGCTGATGTTTGTGAAATGTGTTTTGTGAACATTGCTATGTAAAATTTGTTCTGTTTGTGACATTGTGGTTTGTTAACTGTGTTATGTGAAATGTTGTTTCGTAAAATGTCAGCATGTTTGGTGAAATGCTGTGATTCTGAAATTATTGATCTGTTTGTGTGTATGTGGGAATGCTTGGTAGTCACCTGCTGTAGTAGTATGTCTCCCAGCTGGCCAATAGTGTAATTTAAGATGGATCCAGACTGCAGGCTACTGTTACGCCGCAGTAGCAGTTGTGCCAGAAACTGAGAATGTATCCTGATCAGTGGCTCTAAACAGGGGAAAATAGCATGCACAGTGCTGGGCTCTAGCTGAAGCTCCTCCAGCATGCCCTGCTGAAACACCCTCTCCATGATATGCAGCGTTCGCATGTGGTGTAGCTCTGTCTGAATAAACTCTGAGAAGAACACACATGCACACAGATATTCTGTAAATTATAAAGATTAGTAATGTAAAATGTGTATACTTTAACTTTAACTTTCACTCATGCACAAATGTAAATCTATACATACCCGGTCTTTACTTCTACATATGTATATCTTTTATTTCTTTTAGCCTTACTTGATTTTTATTTTTTATATTGCTATGTTTATACCTGCTTTTGCTCTTTCACCTCTTTCTCAGGGGCTCTGTAACGTTTGAATTTCCCTACGGGGATTAATAGAGTACTTCTGATTCTGATTCTGATATGAAAGTCATGTAAGAGAATGCAGTAGTCATAGAAAGATGCAATGAGAGGTACTGCGTGTTTTTCATCATGTGTAGCTATGTACATATTTAATCTAGATAATATATGTTCAGCAATATGTGGCATATATGAACTAAAGGTCAATAAACTTCGAAAGAATTAAAGCTGTTATCACCATAGATGACATCCTGCCTCTTGATGACATTTTTGCGATGTGACTGCAAATATCGATTGTCCACAGCCATGCTCCAAGAATCAGCCTTGAAGTCCTGGCCCTCCAGCTCCATTTCCTCCAGCACTGAATTATAATAGATGTCTCCTAAACAAGAGAAAAAACCATCAGAATGCAAAATCAGAATGCAAAATCAGACTGTCAAAACGGTGTAAATAGACAACCTTTTTTCTCTCATGCCTTTGTTAAGAAGATATCTGGTTATAAAAGTTACCAGGATAAGCAGGTAAGTTGGCTGCACTGCAACATCTGTTACCATCTATGACTAATAAAGTTACACTTTTGGACACCATCTCTGCATGGCTGTGAGATGAAGTAGGCAGATGTTTATGCAAAGTGTTGTCAATGTGGACTCACAGGAGACTAGTGCTGGTGATTCATAGTAAATAAAGAGTTTCGCGGCAGATAATGCGTTATTTAGAGGCTGTATTGTGGATGCCCCGAACCCTTGCGTTGTATGGATATACGCCAATCGCGCGTGGATCGAAAAGTGTCCAAAGGACTCCAAGTTACTCCAAACCTTTATGGGTGAGTAGATCTACATACCATATGCTGGAAATAAGGACCAGGTCGAAAAAAAACTTCTCCTTTAAGAGGTGAATAGGGTGAGGATTGCTGACGTATTGCGGTGAGCGTATTGCGTATTGTGTCACTTCCGGTGTTAGCTACTGTGTGTTGTACCGGTCTCTTCTCCTCTTTGTCTCTCCCTTTTCCCTTTCACATCTTAATCTTTTAAGCTAATTTTAAGTTACTTCATAGTTGTGCTATCTTGACTTGTCGCTCATACACCCCCTTGTCTTAGCGACTCGTTCATAAAATCACTGTGAGATAACGATACATGTGCTAAATGTAGCTTATTTGCCAGGATGGAGGCGAGGATGAGCCTTTTAGAGTCGTGGCTCTGCACCATGGAGAGTAGATTGTGTAGCGATGTAGTGAGCCAGTCCCCAGTAGCCGGTGCGAGCCACATAGCTGTAGCTTCTCCAGCCCCCCCAGCAGTTCCCGAGCAGCCGGGAAGACAGGTCGGCTGGGTGACTGTGCGAAACAAGAAGCATAGCCCTAAACCGAAGCCCCAGGTTCACCACCAACCCGTTCACGTGTCTAATAAATTTTCCCCACTCAGGGACACACCCGCTGAGGAGCAAACTCTGGTTATTGGCGACTCTATTCTTAGGAACGTGAAGTTAGCGACACCAGTGACCACAGTTAAATGTATTCCCGGGGCCAGAGCGGGCGACGTAGAGTCCTATTTAAAACTGCTGGCTAAGGGTAAGCGTAAGTACAGTAAGATTATTATTCACGTCGGCAGTAATGACCTCCGACTACGTCAGTCGGAGATCACAAAAATCAATATTGATTCGGTGTGTACATATGCAAAGACAATGTCGGACTCTGTAATTTTCTCTGGACCCCTGCCTAATGTTACCAGTGATGACACGTTTAGCCGCACGTCATCCTTTCACCGCTGGCTGTCGAGGTGGTGTCCAGATAACAACGTGGGCTTCGTTAACAATTGGAGAACTTTTTGGGGGAAACCTGGTCTGATTAGGAGAGACTGTATTCATCCCACTTGGGATGGAGCAGCTCTCATATCTAGAAAAATGACAACGTTTGTTAGAAAGTCCACACCGTGACAATCCAGAG